TACCAGCAAACAAGAAACGAATCCTGATTGGTTCTCACAATCGCTTGATGCCGATCATAGAGTACTTTGAGTTATCGAACTAATGGGAGAACGTACAGTAGTGTAGAGTATGAGAATTCGTCTTGTTGTTCATGGTGCAGCCTATTGTAGCTTAAAGCTTGATAGCTGTGCATTTCAATACAGTACAGTATATCAAAAGAACGATTTACTGTATTTGTTAACACATACAGTACATACAGTACAGTACAGTACAGTACTGTATTCGTCCATCGTCACGCCGCGTACTGTACCGTAGAGACTAGATGGTCCAGGGACGACGGTACAGTACAGTAGTGTTTACGTACAGTACTTTACTGAAGTACAAAGTACTATATTTTACTGTACGTACAGTACAGTACTGTACAACTACTGTCCTGTACTGTACTGTACGTGGTTCCTTTAAGCAAAAGAACTCCTGGTATGTGTTGCAATGGCCAAAGTACGGTACTGTACAGTACTGTAAACGGCCCTCTGTTACCGTACGATACGAAAAAATTCAATGAATGCTGAGCCTTTTTTACTACGGTACAGTGCAGTACAGCGTACTGTACAGTGTACAGTATGTACAGTACAGTACAGCACTGTAAAAGGACTGTACAGTACACGGTGTTGGACTGAAAAGATCACACATCCACTGTACTGTACTTCCATTGTACTGTACAACACGTCACGCCTAGTACAATCACGCCACGCGGTTACTACTGTTGATATCTATTGACATGGACCACCTAGCGGCAGCGCTCAGGGACCCTGCTGGTCTACTCATCCCATTGTCAACAACTGTAGTGTACACTGTGCAGTGTACGTACAGTACAGTAGGTTCCCCACCTGTTCATAATAACCCCCGATTACTCAGATACTCAGCGTCAATGGCTCAAACGATAATATATTGAAGACTAGAATAGTGTATCATCGTTGAAGCATTGACGCTGAGTATCTGAGCAATTGGGGTTCCAAAAGACTGTAATATACTAATATATC